GATAATAGAGACCATTATAAACTTTTGAACAATAATAGATACAGAGGCAGAGCTGCCTCAAACAGATTGTCAAACTGCAGCAGGAAGGCCGGGGAGGGTTGGGGGGCAGGAGGTAGGGGGGTAAGAGATCAACTAAAGGACTTGTATGCATGCATATAAGCATAACCAGTGGACATAAGACATTGGGGGATAGGGGAGGCTAGGGGATTGTCTAGGGTGGGGGGATAAAATGGACACATATGTAATACCCTTTGTAATACTTTAAGCAATAAAAAAAAATATATAAAAAAAATAAAAAAAAAAAAGATTAGAGTTCCATTCAAATAGTATAAAAAAGAACAAAACACATCAAAATACATTTAAGAAACTAAAAGACTTGTACACTGAAAACTACACATTGTTGAAAGAAATTAAAAAGCTAATAAATGGAAAGTCATTCCATATTCATCAATCAGATGGCACTTTTGTTAAAAGGCAATTCTCCCCAAGTTGCTCTATAGATTCAAATCAACCCTTACCAAAATTCCAGCTGACTTTTTTTGAGAAATAGACAATATGAACCTAAAATCTATATGGACATGCCAGAGACCCAGAATAGCTCAAACAATCTTAAGACAGCACCAGATTGGAAGACGCACACTTTCCAATTTCAAAACTTATTACAAAACCGCAATAACCAGGACAGTGTGGTAGTAGCATGAGGATAGATGTCACATCAATGGAACAGAACGTAGAGTCCAGGTTTTTAAAAAAATATATTTTATTGATTTTTTTACAGAGAGGAATGGAGAGAGATAGAGAGTTAGAAACATTGATGATGAGAGAGAAACATTGATCAGCCGCTTCCTGCACATCCTCCACTGGGGATGTGCCCGCAACCAAGGGACATGCCCTTGACTGGAATTGAACCCGGGACGCTTCAGTCTGCAGGCCGATGCTCTATCCACTGAGCCAAACCGGTTAGGGCCTGAGTCCAGATTTTTGACAATGGTGTCAAGACAATTCAATGCAATAAATAACAATTCAAAGAGTAGCACTTTCAAAATATGATGCTGGCACACACCTGGATATTCACATGCAAAAAAAAAAAATTACTTTCAGCCCTTATTGTACTCTATCTACAAAATTTAACTCAAAATGGATCAAAGACCTAATTATAAAAGCCAAAACCATTAAAACTCCTTAAGAAAGCACAGGGCAAGAGCTTTATGACATTGTATTAGGCAATGACTTCTTGGATAGAAGAATGAAAGTATAGGCAACTGAAGAAAAAAAGAATTAAATTGAATTCCATCAAAATTAAAAACTTCTGTGCATCAGTGAACAATTAGAGTGAAAAGGAAACCTACAGAACAGGAGAAAATATTTGCAAATCATATATTTAACAAGGAGCTAATCCTTCAACTCAACAAAAAAACAACAACACATATAACCTGATTTAAAAATGGGAAAAGGACTTGAAAATGAAGTCCAAAGAAGATGTACAAATGACCAATAGGTATATGAAAAGTTATTCAATGTCACTAATCATTAGGGAAATGCAAATCAAAACTACAATGAGATTTCACCTGACATCTATTAGGATGGCTTCTATTTTTTGAAAAAAATCCAACAGAAAATAACAAGTGTTGTCAAGAATGGGAAGAAATTGGAACTCTTGTACACTGTTGATGGGAATGTAAAATTCTCCAGCTGCTATGGAAAATAGTATGACAGTTCCTCAAATGTTAAAAATAGAATTATCATATGATCCAGCTCTTCCACTTCTGGGTATGTACCCAAAAGAACAGCAGGCAGGGTCCTGTAGAGATATTTGTACACCCCTGCTCATAGCAGTGTTCTTCACAATACCAAAAGTTGGAAGCAACGCAAGTATCCATAAGTAAAATGTGGTATATCCATAGAATGAAATATTATTCAGCTATAAAATGGACTGACATTCTGATAAATGGATGAACTTTATGACTGTAATGTAGTCAAAGAGGCTAGTTACAAAAGAACATGTTTCCACTTAAAGAAGGTATCCGGAGTAGTCACATTCATAGAGACAGAAAGTCAAACGATGGTTGCTAAGGATTGGCGGAAGGAGGAAATCAGGAGTAGTTGCTTAATGGGAATCGTTTCAGTGTTACAAAATGAGTTTACCAGAGACTGGTTGCACAACAACATGAATGTACTTAACAGAACTGGACACATAAAAATGGTGAAGACGGTATATTTTATATAATATGTATTCTACCACAATTTTCAAAAGATTATAAAAAATTCCTTATTTATGTTTGAAGAAATGTTATCTGGTGAGATAGTATATTTGATCAGATATGATACAACTTTTCTCTGTGTACCTAGACTTCTGAACCTCAACTTCTACCTCTGTCTACTTCACTGCGCACAAATTAACATGATAGTTGTCATTTAAGCCTACCTGGTATGTGGCAGGCTTTTCCAGTTAAATTCTCAACAATTTTCTGATGAGCCAGCAAAAGCTCAGCAAGGTTTAGTGATATTTACCAAGGTTATGAGAGGGATGGAGCTATTACTGGATCCCAAGGCCTGACCCTAAAGCCTGGGTTTTTCCCCTCCTTGCCTCATTCCCCTCAAGTTAGCTTTATCCTAACAGCCAGTTGGGGAACCTAAAAAATCAGATTCCCGCCCGAGCCGGTTTGGCTCAGTGGATAGAGCGTTGGCCTGTGGACTGAAGAGTCCCAGTATGGTTCTGATCAAGGGCACATACCTGGGTTTTAGGCCTGATCCCCAGTGGGAGGCGTGCAGGAGGCAGCCCATTGATAATTCTCTCTCATCATTGATATTTCTATCTCTCTCTTCTTCTCCCTTCCTCTCTGAAATCAATAAAAAATATATTTTTTAAAAAAAAGGTACAAAAAATCAGATTCCCCGAGAAGGTGAGTGTTTCTCTATATTGTCATGAATGTTGAATGTGTGGATCCTGGAATAAGTAAATTAACAAATAAAGAGATGAAATCATATAAAATTAGCTAATTTGACAGACTAAGGAAGCCTGGAACACAGAGGGGTCTGGAAAAGAAGGAAGGAGGTGGAAGCAGAAATTGCTAACCGCAGGGTACATTCTGCGTAAGCACATTCAGAGCTCTACAGTCATCCTGCCCTGAGGACAGAGACCACTGGGGAGTCCAGGGTCCTGGAGCTGTTGCAGCCCCGAGAGAGGCCAGTCCAGACACAGCTGTGTGTGCTCCCAGCAGCAGAGGAGGCTCAGGCAAGATGCCCTCAGGAGGGAAGGGTGACAGGGCACTGGGGGGACTTGGTGGGTGTGTGGGTAGGGGAGGGGCACGTCTTTCTTTAGAAAGACCACCCTGGCTCCTGTGGGAAAGATGACTTGAAGGGGATGAAATTGGAGGAGTGAACTGACCCCAAACACAGAGCCAGGGAAGTGAATTCTGGAAAGGTATTTGGAGGGACCCTTGCCAGGGCTTGGTGATCAACTGCGTGAGGGAATGGTGAGGGAGAGGAATGGGTCTTCACTATCAACTCTTAGTACTTCAGCGACTAAGCCCAAAGAAACAGATCTGTAATGGGTGGGGTGGGTGGCGGGCAGTCTTGGACAGACAAGGGGCTGTCACTTTTTCCGGGTGCCGCCCATGCCACTCAGTGCCTGTCGGGTAGGCTCCTTTAACACGGGAGACTTTTATGTTGTCCTTCTGCTCAGTCCAAGGGTGTCTGCATTTGTTTTCTGAGGAGTCAGGTGGCGATCTGGGGCATTAGTCCAGCTCTCAGAGAGCTGAGGGGCCAGAGTCCTGATGGGGTGGAGGGAGGAAAGGCTTTCAGGAAATGGGGAAGAAATATGAGGGAGCAAAGCTGTTTGAAAGCCACCGCTCTTGCCCTGGCTGGTGTGGCTCATTTGGTTGGGCATCATCCCATGCACCAAGAGGTTGCTGCATGATCCTGGTCAGGGCACACGCCCGGGTTGTGGGATCGATCCCCAGTAGGGGTTGTGCAGCAGGCAGCTCATTGATGTTTCTCTCTCTCCCTCTCCCTTCCTCTTTCTAACAATCAATAAAAACTTTCCTTTTTTAAAGATAAAAAAAAAAGACCATTTCCACTTCTGTATCATTAAACCAGTCCTGTTTGTGTTACATCCTTTGATCCTCAGGCTGATGTGGAGAACTCAGCAGAGCTGGGCCACTGCCTTCCCCAGGCAAACAGGGTTCCTAAGCTGCCATGGGAACCCAGGTGATCCAGGGTCTAATGGCAGGGCCCTTGCAGAACACAGCATAAGGGTGCTGTGGGTCCCTGGCCCTTTCCAGGAAGTAGGGACCTAAACCATTTAATTACTTTTTTTAAAAAGGTAAAATCCAGAGAGAATGAGTGGGTTCAAGCATTCTTCTCCAACTTGGGTGCTGTCCCTGAGGACCCACCTACAAACCCCAGATCTACCTCTGAACCCTCCAAGAATGGGGTGAGGGAGCCCCCTTTGCCATCCTCATCTATCTCAGTGTCAGGACCCAGCACTGAAGGAACAGGGTCTGGCCCCATCCTTCACTATGCAGATGGGGAGACTGAGGAGGGGGTGAAGGGAGCACGCGGCATGGGCTCTCTCCTCAGGCCTCCCTTCCCTAACCACAGCTTCCTCTGCAGGGACAGAAAGACATGGCCTGGAAACTGATGCCGCCTCTGCTGCTGCTGGCCTGGTTTTCAGCCCCCGTGTGCAGTGCCAGAGACAGGACAGACCTGCTCAACGTCTGCATGGACGCCAAACACCACAAGACAAAGCCAGGCCCTGAGGACAAGCTGCATGGCCAGGTATGGCTGCAGTGGGGCTGTGGTTGGGGAGGGGACTGGTTCTGACAGGGAAGAGGACCTGAGGGTGGTGCGGGAAGGGTTGAGGGGCCAGACACCCCATGTTCTGATTACTGCTGAGAAGGTAAAGGTCGGGAGTGGTTTAGGAGATTTTCGGGGTGGCCTCCTCAGAACAGGATACCATATCAGCAATCACATGCAATGATCACTTAATGAGTACCTACCTACCAGGTGTCATGTGCTTTCTGTCCATGATCTCACTTTTGCGGTGGTCCTCTGAGGTAGGCAGATGACATTTTCCTCATGACACAAATGTGGAAACTGAGGCCCAGAGGAGCCTATGGACACACAGAGAACCTGGACATGACTAGCCCTCGTGGTGGGGTAGGACGGGCGGACACCTCCAGGGGTTTGGGGGAGGATGGTTTTCCTACTCTGACTATGTGCCCGTCCCATGGAGTGCTAGGGGCAAAGGAGAAGGCCTCTTATGACTGCAACATGAGGCAGAGGTGCAGTACCTTCACACATTCTTTAAAAAATTATGCCATTTGGTTGCACCCTATTAGTTTCCCTAGTTCCTTTTTAGGAAAAATATTGTTTAGACTCTCTTTTCTATCCTGGAATGAAGTTCAAAGCTACTAGAATCTATTAATTTAAAAATATCAACATAATTACCTATAATGCAAAGGAGAAGCAAAAAGAAAGCAATTCATAAAAAAAAAAAAAAAAAAAAAAAACACACCCCAACTACATTTCATATGTCAATTCTCTGGTATGGCTACATTAGAAGTCCTTGTGAAACAGCACATGAATGGGGCAGCCTCAAATGAAGATTTATACAAGTGTACTCTATTGGCAACTTAAATACCTGTGGGTCGCGAACAATGAAAATACATCCTGCATATCAGATATTTACATTACAATTCATAACAGTAGCAAAATTACAGTTATGAAGTAGCAACGAAAATAATTTTATGGTTGGGGGTCACCACAACATGAGGAACTGTATTAAAGGGTCGCGGCATTAGGAAGGTTGAGAACCACTGCAAGCAGTGTTGCCATTGAGGAGACAATTTTCTACAATAGGATTAACTCTAGTAATATAAAACATATAGTACAGCCTTCCATCTCATGGTTTGTGTTGTCCTGGAAAATCGGGTAACTAAGGTGTGTTCACATGAAAGATGTAATTCAGTTTAGATCAGGAAATCATAAATACGTTTTTCACGTTATTAAGCAAATGTTTCTGTGTTTCTGATACTGTCCTTTCCATGGGGGGGGGGGGGAGAGACACAGATCTTAATACTTGCTGAGAATATGGTCATTCAACAATAGATTACTGTATTGCTCACTTTCTTTCCTCCCTTTTTTTTTTTTTTTAAAAAAATTATTGATGTTAGAGAGAGAAAGGGAGAGACACAGTAAGTGAGAGAGAGAGAAACATTTATTTGTTTTTTCACTTACATATGCATTAATTGGTTGATTCTTATATGTGCCCTGACTGGGTTCAAACCCACAACCTTGGCATATCAGGGTGATGCTCTAACCAAACTGAGCTACCTGGTCAGGGCTCTTTCCTTCTTTACTGAAAATGTCACCTTGCAATGAGGCTTTTCAAACCACCTTACTAGTATTTTAAATTTCAACAATCACCCCATTCTCCACAGACTCATTCCCTGCTGTAAACGTCCCTATATAATTGATCATATCCTTCCATATCACATTTTCCCCTTTTAGTGTCTTACTGTCTGTCTCCCCTGACCAGAATGTAAGATCCATGAACACATATTTCTCTCTGTTTCCTTGTGTGCTGTACTCTGTCTACAACAGTGGATGGCATAGAATAGCTACTCAGTAATAATTTTTTCATGAATAGATTTAAGAACTTTTTATAAAGTGTTAAGGCCTTTATAAATGACTAGAGGCCCAGTGCATGAAATTTGTGCATGGGGCGGGGCGGGGGGGGGGGGCGGGGGGAGGAGGGTGTTGTCCCTCAGCCCAGCCTGCACCCTCTCCAATCTGGGACCTCTCAGGGGATGTCCGACTGCCGGTTTAGCCTGATCCCTGTGGGACATCCCTCTCATAATCCAGGACTGCTGGCTCCCAACCGCTCGTCTGCCTGCCTGCCTGATTGCCCCTAACCACTTCTGCCTGCCAGCCTGATCACCCCCTAACCACTGACCCTGCCAGCCTGATCAACACCTAACTGCTCCCCTGCCAGGCCGACTGCCCCCAACTGCCCTCCCCTGCCAGCCTGGTCGTCCTTAATTGCCCTCCCCTGCTGGCCCAGTCGCCCCCAACTACCCTCCCCTGCCAGCCTGGTCACCCCTAACTTCCCTCCTCTGCTGGCCCGGTCACCCCCAACTGCCCTCCCTCCCCTGCTGGCCTGATAGCCCACAACTGCCCTCCCCTGCCAGCCATCTTGTGACCACATGGGGGCAGCCATCTTTGGCCACATGGGGGGGGGCATCTTGTGCGAGGGCGTGACAGTAAATTTGCATATCACCTCTTTATTGTATAGGATAATTTTTTTGTCCTCCCAAGACAGGGTTTCTCCCAGGCTCCCACAACCCCCTAATCACACTGTTGCAATTGAGTGTCCTCTAAGATAAGAGTTCCTGGAGGCTAAGAACAGAGAGGTCCTCACAGTGAGTGTTTCCAGAACAACCTGCCTGGGGCTGGAGAGCAGGAACCAAGTGGGGAGAGGCTGGAGGTGGCAGAGGTTGGCGGCAGGGGGCACTCAGTGCTGTGTCCTCCCCCCCAGTGCACTCCCTGGAGGAAGAATGCCTGCTGCTCTGTCAGCACCAGCCAGGAGCTGCACAAGGACACCTCCCTCCTGTATAACTTCAACTGGGACCACTGTGGCAAGATGGAGCCCGCCTGCAAGCGCCACTTCATCCAGGACACCTGTCTCTATGAGTGCTCCCCCAACCTGGGGCCCTGGATCCAGCAGGTACAGGGGTGTCCTCACCCCACCCCACCCCGCCCCGCCCCAGCAGGCTGCCCTCCAGCTCAGTCAAAGCTGTGGCTGCCAACAGGCCTGGCTGAGGAACCTTCTCATATTACCTCCCACCCAGGTGAACGACAGCTGGCGCAGAGAGCGTTTCCGGAACGTGCCCCTGTGCAAAGAGGACTGTGAGAGCTGGTGGGAAGACTGCCGCACCTCCTACACCTGCAAGAGTGACTGGCACAAGGGCTGGAACTGGACCTCAGGTGAGGGCTGGGTGGGTGGGGAGATGGAGGTGGGGTTTGGGCAAAGGCGGTGTGAGGATTGGGATTGCCTGAATCTCTCTCAGGTAAGCAGGGCTGGAGGTCCGTGTCTATCCTCTCTCCCCCTGCAGGATCTAACAAGTGTCCAGCTGAGGCCGTCTGTCGCACATTCGAGTCCTACTTCCCCACTCCTGCGGCCCTGTGTGAGGGCCTCTGGAGTCACTCCTACCGGGTCAGCCAATACAGCCGAGGGAGTGGCCGCTGCATCCAGATGTGGTTTGAGCCGGCCCAGGGCAACCCCAATGAAGAGGTGGCGAGGTTCTATGCCTTGGCCATGACTTCTGGGGCCATGCTCCATGGGACTGGGCCTCTTCTGCTCAGCCTGGCTCTGATGCTGCAACTCTGGCTCCTTGACTGAGTCCAGCTCTTCCCAGAGGTCCCCTCTGTCTGTCCCCAGCTTTGAGGCACAAGGATCAGTTTTGACTCAGCACAGGTCCACAAATGAAGCCCTAAGCTTGCCTCCATGCATTACCCATCCCTCTGTCAACCAGTTCCTCATGTGGGGCTTGGGGTTCCTCTGACAGCCAGTTCTAATAAACAGACAGACATATTTGTGTCTGATGAATTATTTTGGTTGTGAGTTTGTGGGTGCACAGTGGAGAGATTCCATAGTTTTGGGATTCCTGCATATATATATATATATATATATATATGCATATGCAAGCCTGGTGCATGAAATTTGTGCACTGGGGGTGGGGTCCCTCAGCCTGGCCTGTGCCCTCTCGCAGTCCGGGAGCCCTTGGGGGATGTCTGACTGCTGTGGAAGCAGCAGGAGAGGCTCCCGCCACTGCCACGGGGCTCCCCAGACTTTAGCCCAGCTCAGGGCTTCTGGCTGAGCAGCGCTCCCCCTGCAGGAGCGCACTGACCACCAGGAGGCAGCTCCTTCATTGAACGTCTGCCCCCTGGTGGTCATTGTGCATCATAGCAACTGGTTGTTCCGCCATTCAGTTGATTTGCATATTAGCCTTTTATTATATAGGATCCATATATATAGATTTCAGAGAGGAAGGGAGAGGTAGAGAGAGAGAGAGAGAAACATTCATGAGAACCATTAATCAGCTGCCTCCTGCACGCCCCCTACTGGGAATTGAGCTGGCAACCCGGGCATGTGCCCTTGACTAGAATCGAACCTGGGACCCTTCTGTCCACAGGCCAATGCTCTATCCACTGAGCCAAACCAGCTGGGGCAGTTTTTGGATTCCTTCAGATTAGAGAAATGAAACCTGGGTTTCAACATCAGCTCACCTACTCACTATGTGAAAGGAAGCCGTTGCTTGACTGCTCTCAATCTTTCTCCTCATTAAAATGGGGCTAACAATCCTTCCCTCCCTCAGGGTTGTGAAATATAAAGGAGCTGTTGCCGAGAAAGTATGTGAGCCCAGTGTCTGCACATTAACAGTTCTGAGGGATCCTGTTGCTCTTGTAGCCCCAAGTAAGAGTCAGGTCCAGGCCTTCATTATTTATATTGGTCTGTAAATATCCCCTTTCACCCAGGCCTTGTCTGTCTGCCTCTGTGCTCAGGTCTGCAACGAGAAAGCTAGGGATGGGGGTCCAGAGGTGAAAAAATAATTCACAACTGATGTGGACTAAAGGGCCAGAGTTGGGGCTTGGGACCCTCATTGTAGGAAGAGAGTGTAGGAGGAGGGCAATCGGGGAGGTTCCTGGAGCAAATACTCAAGTGCCTTGAGCTGGTTCCGTCAGGCTGTATTCTGGAGGTGTGGCTGGAAGAGGGATGGGAACTCTTACCTTTGTCCCCACCTGGCAACGGTAGAGACGCCTACCTGGGTGGTGGTGGTTCTGTCTTTGCACAGTCCCCAGGAACTGGGCCTCGGTTGCTTTCTGGGGCTCTCACTTCCCCCTTCCTTCCGAGTCTCCGAACTCAGACTGCAGTTATCCCTAGAGAGGCACCGAGACCTGTCTGACACCATCAGGCAGGCGGGTGATCAAGCTAGAACCAGAATGAGGCCTGAGTGCTCCTAGTCCAGGTCTCTCCCTGCCGCCCTGGCTGCCCCCTCCTGGCAGACTCACCTTCCCTCACACCAAGAGGAGACTGACTCGGTGAGAGAAGTCGGGCACAGACTGGCGGACGAGTTAGTGGGTCCCTGTAGGGGCCTGGCGGCACTGCTGGGTTCGTGGGAGGGTCTCT